CGCCCACCTGCTGTGTGGGCCCCACCCCCGGTCCGTATAAATTACAGTGAGACCGGGCAATCGTCTCCCAAATAGCTTTTTTCTTCAGCCATTTAGGACCCAGTGAGGCCCAGAGCTTAAAGGGCTGCACCTATACTCATAGAATCTGGGGTTACAGTACGTAACCAACATTCTATTTTGTATAGGCTCCGCCCTTTAAGACTGTCGCTGGTGGGTTAAAGGTGAAGCAGGATGTAGTCTATGCCACACTGGGTCCATTCAGACACAACATGAAGCACCTGCTTGCACAAAAAAACATTTCATCACTCAGCCTTCTGTGTGTGTAACTGCGTGCTCCATGCGCAGGAGCACACCGGAGAAGATCTCTGGTGAGGAAAAGGCTGAGATAGCAGACCTGCTGCTGTGAGAAGGAACAACGGAGGATATGAATTGTAACAGTGTGAAGATGAACAGAGCAGACCAACAGCTCCTCAGGATGAACCGGTTAATAACGATAAAATCATCAGTCATGAACTTGTGACTGATAATAAATAACTCACACTGTGACTGCATGCAGGCAGGTGTGAGCTCAGGTGAGGCTCCATGAAACAAATCATCATTCTGTCAGAACCCTGAGAACAGAATGGGTCATGGAGAAAGTATAAACATCACGGAGGTAAAAAATGAATAATTGAACATGGCGATGACCAGGCTGCCGCCATACAAATATCCTCCACTGTCATCCCTCCATGCAGAGCCGTGGAGGATGAAAACCCTCTGGTGGAGGATCCAGTCCAGATGATCTGTGAGCTTCAGAAATAGCCTCACACAACCAGTGTGAGAGGCCCTGGGTGGATGGAGGACGTCCTGAAGAGCTGTCCCAGTAATGCATGAACAGACGCTGAGAGCGGCGCAGTGCGTCCGTGTGCGCCACGTAACATGAAAAATGTGCGCACGGGACAGAAGGAGGTGAGATGTTGCTTCCTCCTTTGAATTATGAGGAAGAGGATAAACCCATCCAAGGTTATCACTCTCAGAGCTTGTGATGCTTTTCAGAGCAGGTTAAAACGCAGAACAGCTGAACTGTGTCAGCTTGAATCCTGAGACATGAGGGAGCAGAGAGCAGATAATCACTCACTCTCTTTGCTGATGTCAGAACTAACAGCAGGGCTGTTTTAATGACAGAAAGTTCAGAGCAACCTGATCTAAAGGCTCAGAAGGAGCTTTGATCAGAGCGTGCAGGACCATCGTTAGGTCTCACTGTGGAGCCAGTGGACGTGACACCGGTCTGTGTCTCCGGACATCTTCCAGGAAACGCTTCATCAACGGGTGATTAAGAACTGTTCTGTCACTGAATCCTCGTGACAGGAAGAAACAGCTGCAGCACAAGTTTTAATTGTGCTGAACACTCTGTCCATCAGCTGCTGCAGAAAGAACAGCACGCCACCTAGTGGACATGAGATGGTCTCCACGTCTTTCTCTGCGCACCAGCGCTGAAAAACTGTCCACTTGATATAAGCACATAAAGGAGCAAATTATAAATGTCACTAGAGTCTGATTTATGTTTGGACAGTTTTTGTCCTGTTGAGCTCTGAACTGTCAAAAATAATAACCTCATCCAAACCATCCACATGCCTGCTAGATCCCATCCACATGCCTGCTAGATCCCATCCCAACCAGACTGTTTAAAGAGGTATTTCCACTAATTAATGTCCACATTTTGGATCTACTTAATTTGTCTTTAATGGAGGTTTATGTACCACAGCACTTTAAGGTTGCTGTAATTAAACCTTTACTTAAGAAACATGACCTCGACTCAGGAAGTCTAGCCAACTGTAGACCTATATCTAATCTAACTTTCATCTCAAAAATTCTAGAGAAAATAGTTGCAGGTCAGTTGCGTGAACATCTACAAAGAAATATTCTGTTTGAAGAGTTTCATTCAGGGTTTAGAGCTCATCATAGCACAGAAACAGCACTAGTAAAAGTCACTAATGATATTCTCATGGCCTCAGACAATGGACTTGTGTCTCTACTGGTCCTGTTAGACCTCAGTGCTGCATTTGATACAGTTGATCACAATATTTTACCACAGAGACTTGAATATGATGTTGGGATTACAGGAACAGCTCTAAAATGGTTTAAATCATATCTATCTGATAGATTCCAGTTTGTAAATGTAAATGATAAATCTTCTTCTAAAAAAGTTTAATCTGGTCCTCTGGACATTCAAAAAAACAAAACAAAGCAAATCAACAAAAAAATGTAGAAACGTTTCGTCTCTCATCCGAGAGACTTCCTCAGTCTGAGGTGCTGTTTTCAGCTCAGTCTCTTAAATAGCACCTTCTCAGAGTGGATCAACCAG